CAAGTGGTGTTTTATGTGACTGTTTTTAGCTTCCCACGAAACATGAAATTTTGTCTAATACTATAGATGCTTAGAAAAAATAATACTATCTACAAAAAAAATGTAGGATTGGGCAAAATAAAGGTGATGAATCTTGAGATGCCTCAGAATCAACACCTATTCAATTTAATTTCTTCATTTGTAAAAACTGCCAGAAAAACAAGTCTTCTGAAATAGCTCCAGTTATAATTTCAATTGTTGAAGTTTCTTTCATGAACTTCAGCCAGTATCTAGTTTGCAAACAGAAAGCTATGTAGACATCTCTCTATAGGTGTTTGTGGAAGGAGCATTCATTAAGTTTTTTATCACATATTTATGCCAACTCACTGTTGGGTTCTTTGTCAATATTTAATCTCTATGTTTCACTTTTAATTAACTTTTATTGGGGGGGTGGTACTGGAGATTGAACCCATGGGTACATAACCACTGAGCCATATCCCTGTCCCTTCTCTATATTTTATTTAGAGGAAGGGTCTCACTAAGTTGCATAGGGCCTTGCTAAATTGCTGAGGCTGCCTTTGAACTCCAATTCCTCCTGCCTCAGCCTCCTAAATCACTAGGATTACAGCCATGCATCACTGCACCTGAGTTTACCTTTTTTTGAGTAGTCATTGCTTAATGCTTTAGAAAGAGAAAGGTAGCAGCCTGCTCAGTTGCTACAAATGGTTTAATTGGTTTCAAAATAAATCATGTGATTTAAATGAGCATTTTCCCAGATGGCTGTCACTTTGCATTTGAGGGAAAACACCAATTACAGTATTGCATGAAAGCTGAGAGTCAATAGTCTGCAAACTATCACCTATATCTTCACTTGCTTCTCTCTTTATTTTTTCATTGTCATGTTTCAGAAGGTGGATATGAGGTGAAGGTGAGAAAGTACATGAAATATTAACAGAGGTTTGAAATACTTTTGATGGATGAAATATGGCATTTTCAAAGCTACAGAAGAAGGACCTGAGTTACTGTGGCTGCAAAAGCACACAGTCCTGAAGAGAGAACTCTTCTAAATGACCAAGATGCAGAGAGCACACATAAAGAAAAATAAATCTCTGCACCTGTTCTTAGACAAGCACAGCAGGGTATGCAATCTGCAAGTAACACTACAGGTAGCTTTGCATGTCCTCACACCTTCCAGGAGGCAGTCAAGAGTCTAACCTTAGAATCTTACTTGGTTCTAAACACAGACATTAGCTATTGAAAAAAGCTTGAAAAAAAAAAAAAAAGAAGTTTGCTAAAGTATATGAATGTTTTATTTAGATTTTGAAGACAATCTAAATAAATGAATATAATTTCCATTCCCCAACCTATAAAATGTAAGCCTAGGTAGTTATACCTCATCTAATTTTCTTAGTACTATTCAGCTAATTATTATGAAATTTTAAAATAATAAATTTTTATTAGTCAATTCTAGTCATAACACTGCCAGTCTCTAATCCTATCATGGAATCATACCTAGTTGAGGGGGCCATTTATTTACTCTCTTCAAAGAAGAGTTATTAGATTATATCTAATCCATTTGTATCCTTAATTCAGCAGCTGCAAGCTTACAGAAGAAAAAATACAATCATTTTCAGAATTCCCTAAAAATAATACAAGTTGAAATTTAAAATTCATATTATTTCTAAATCATTTTACCTACTCATTAAGAATGTATATTATTATAGTCCTCTAAAATCTAGTGTTTATTTAACATCTACTATATACAAGGCATTGGGAAGAAAGCAAAATTAATGAAGACTCTTCTTGAGGGGCTCATTCTTTTTAGTAGAGACAGAACAGGCAGATGCATAAATCAAGGAAATCTATATTGACCCACTATTATAGAATATTAGAGCAATGAACAACTTTAGAAAACATCTATTTCCAATCATTATTTTATGGATATGAGAGGGGGGGCAGGGAGGGAGAGAGGAAAGAAAAAGCCTATTTAGGAGATTAGGAATTTAGTCCATATCATACACACAGTTTAAAAACCTGAACACAGAAGTAGGCCTTCAGATTCCCAGTTTACTTCATTCCCATTATACTATGTTGCCACTCTGAGTTGGAAAGCATTTGAATAAGCAAGGGTGGAGGAAAGAAGACAGCATGGTAGCAAACATAGGCTGGAATATAACACTGATAAAAAAAAAAAGTTTATTTGGAACACAGACCATTTAATTTCTCTGAGAACAAGAGCTTGAAGGGAGAAATGAGATGGTAGGCAGAAAACAGTGAGATTAGACAATAGAGGGTATCAAATGGCAGTCTAAGAGAGTTAGACTTTCTCATTAAACAATTTAATGGACACAGGTAGCAGAAATTACTTACACACCTAATACTTCCTTTAACATTTGTAGTATAATAGAAGACTGACAATCTCAGAGGTTTATAATGAAAGAAGAGAAATGCCTTCCAATATGAAAAAGGCCAATGACACATAGCACACTTTTAATGAACATAATCTCCCTTTGTTAATTCTTCTTTCTCTTAAGTGGAGGGTGGTAGAATAGGGATATAAAAAAGCAAGATGTAAAATGTGATGGGACTGACAAGTTTATACCCTATACTTCCTGCCTTGCCCCTGAGTATCTTCAACCCTGTACAGCTGGTTCCTGAACCAACCCTAGACAGGTTTGAATCATCCATCTTCACAGATGCTAGGGACTAACCACAAGCCCATAGAACTGTAGCTGCTCTTCCCTCCACCACACCTACCCTGTTGCCTAGCCCTTGTTCTAGCGTCATTCCCTTCCTTGGGACTTGAAACAGATGAGAGGAGGCAAGTCAAATTTTACACCAATATTAGTATAGCACTCCAGAATAATTTCAAAATACTTTCACATATTCTTTTTAATTTCTCATAAAGCAGAAGCAAACCTCCATTCCATCTTACCCCTTACCCTGCATAGCTCCCCTCATTCCTCCAGAGGTTAGAATATGCTTCCCATCTCTGGTTACTAGACTCTAACATTGACATTAATGTAAATGATTGTCCTGAAATCCTGATTCTATTAATAGCTTAATAGTAAAAACTATCTTTGCTGAGAAACTGCATTCCACTCAACAAACCTTAGCACATCAATATCAATGAATGCTTCAAAAACACCTGGACCCCATGCCTTGAACTCCAAGGACCTTCCTTTTCCAAGCCTGCTACTTAGAAAAGTTGCCCCTTGAGCCCAGCTCGATATGTTCCTAGTCTACTCTCCTCTATAGGCTTGTCTGCTGCTGGTGAGAGGCCATCAGTTTCTGTGCTGAGGACATTCATGTGATGGAAGAAGTTTTGAAAAGGAAACGCTGAGTGCCATGGTTAAATTGATAAAAAGTCTGTGAAGCACTCTGGGCTAATAAGACTTAAAAGTCCACAGACTCATTGTTTTTCAAAGTGAGACGACAACTTGACTTATGGTTTTCAACATCAAGGAACAAATACCGTCAACTGATCTTCCTCCTTTCACCTCAGGTATACAGAAAAATGATTTTTCAGGAAAGAAAAGAAGGTGGGGCTTTTTATGGAAAAAACTGCCACGAATAATTTATTGTTCTACTTTTTAATTCTCATTTAGAAACAAGATACATTAAAGTACTTTTTAAATTTTACAGTGATTTTATTTTTAGCTGGCAGAATAGAGCACAGTGTGAGGTACTTTCCATGCATTATATCATGTTATCCTTACATTAGCCCAGTAGAATACAAACTATTTTTATTCCCAGGTTAGACATCAGGAAATAGTCTAAGATAAGCAATTTCCCAAAGTCACACACCATTATGTAGGAACACTGCTATTGGATCTCTAGCCAGCTAACCCTCAAGCCTATGCCTCAGCCAGTAAAACACTCATTTGGCCCATTTTTACTTTTAAACAGCTCTTTAAAATTGTAAGTTTGAGGGGCTAAATATATTAAGAATATGTACTATTTTTATAAGTACAAAAAAGAAAAAAAATTCATCCCAGATAATTAAAGTTTGCATTTTAGACTTTGAGTTAAAAAAATAATAATAATGGACAAACTTCTGAAAGCTTGTCACCATTAATTTAAGACTAATTAAAAATGAGATCCAAAGTGCCTTACTGTGGGTATGATAATTCAACTAAAGAAAATTATCAGCATCCTCTAACTACAGAATATCTATTCATTTCCTCCATAACATATATTGAATATCTATAGCAGTACTGGACTAGGAACCAAGGACCGAGATGAATAAGACAAACAAGGTCTCTGCCATCCAAGAGCTTCCAGACAAGTTGGGCAGAGTCATTCATGGGTAAATACAATACCATATAACTTGTGTGATGAAGGGGACAGAGGGAGGAGGTCAGGAGAACTTAACTGAGCTAGGGAGAAGGGAAAACCTCCCTCCTAGGAGTTAGGGCAGGGCATGATATAAAGAGACAGGGAGTGTTCCATGTAGAAAAAAAATGCACTAAGGACCAGAACAAAAATAAGAAACTGATGGAAGTTCTGAGTAGCTCAAGCTGCCATCCAGAGAAAAGAAGAGCCAAAGCTTGGACCAGGTAGGTGGGCAGAGGCTGGATTCTACAGGCCTATCAAGCTTACTAGAGATTTAGGACCATACCTGAGGGCAATGGGGAGTCAATTCAAGCACAAAAGAGAAACTTAATCACATTTTAGTTGTACAAGTATCAATCTGATTGCAGAGTGAAGACAGTTTATAGTGTATTTGGTGGGAAATTATTGCCTTAATCCAGGAGATAGGTGACGGTGAGCAGGGTTGGAGTAACAGATATGAGCAAGAAGAGTACACACTTGTAGAGTAGAATGGGGTCTGATTTAAGCCTTGAAGTAAGTCTAAGGTTAAGTCTAAGGTAGACATTCACCTTTCAATTAAACAAGTCATTTTACTGGAAGAAAAAGGGAGCAATTTTAAAAACTTATTCCAACAACAAAAAAACTTACTGCTTTGAAACTATTACTGTCATTTACTTGTTAGAGGTTGGGTTTCACCCATAACTTACCTGGTTACCAACCAATAATAAGTGTTCTCCAAGGAGAAAGTCTTTGAGCATGTCTTTCATCACTATCATGTGCTAGAGAAAAAAAGGACCACAGACAGGTTAGCTGTGTTTTAAGTTAACTATATAGATATCTTCTTGGAAGTTAAGACATCCTTTATGATAGAATACTCAAGTAATTTAACTTTTAAGAAAACAAAATTAATGAGTTACATATAAGTCAACTACATAACCAATTGGGTCACTGATACTGAAAACTTAAAACAGCCCATTAGAGCAAGTACAACCAATTGACCAGTTCAAGTTGTTTTTGTAATTCAAGTATTTTTATTTAAACTACTTAGCATTGTCTTGAAATTTAATATAAATTTAAATTGACACTTGCTAATGTAAATACATAATGGCTTCCAAAAATAATCAGCAATTTTTATGGAACTTTTTAGACTGACATCATCTTAACCATTACCTTCAAAACTATATATAGCTTTGAAATTAAATATATTATTTAACTTCCACAGTTTTTTATTTGAATTATGACACAATATAATAAAAGAACAAGATTAAGGTTGTTCACAATAGCTACAGAGAAAGTTACATTGCTCTTTTGTATCTTAAAAAATAGGCCATCTATAAGTAGGTTACAAAAGCTCATTGGGGGTCAGGAAAAGAACTACATCCTAGCACAGTTAATATCCCTATTACTTTCTCTTGGTTTTCTGTATCAAATCAAATAACAGCCTCATAAGTACTAAACTTATTGAAGTTCTCTATTTTTAAAAAAGGCAAATTAACCTTTTGCATTAACCTTTTATATTAACATTTTATATATCTATAGATATTTATCTGGTATGTCAATTGCTTTTCATTTTTTAAGTTAGTTTTTAGAGAGCCAGGAAATTTTCCTTTCATTTGTCAAATTTAGTATACTTTCATTCTGTCTGTTTCTTAGAAAGGAAAACTAAGAAAGCATTTCCCTACCTTGAGAACAAATGAGTAGCCCCAGATGTTTATCTTGCTAGTTTTTGTTTTTTAAAATTAGATACATTAAGGAGCTAAAGTTTTAACAAGGCATGAAATAAAATGAGCATATTTACTTATTGTCATTCTGGCACATTTTTAAAATAAAGAGCCAGCCATTGTTAATAATTATGCTGGGTCACAATAGGTACAAACTATCTTTTTTTTTTTTTTTTTTTTTTTTGGTGGTGCTAAGGATTGAACCCAGTGGACTTGTGTATGCTAGGCAAGCACTATGCCAACCGAACTACATTCCCAGCCTAAATTGAGACTGTCTTAAAAGCAAACTAAGATAAACTGAGATGTATGATTTCCCTATAAAAGTGAGTCCTAGAAAATAATTTAAAACTGAGTTCTGTGGTAATATAGGCCAGAGATCTTTACATTTTAATTCAGATGAAAAGTCAATACCAATTTCCATAAAACACAGAATTCTTCCTGAAATAAATAGGCTAATCTGCATGAGGAATGGATAGAAAAGTTGCAAGGAGCACCTTGATGGGTGCATAATAATGAAAATGAATGCAAACTATATTTGAATTCTTATCTGTATTGTTTATTCTAAATCTTCCTACTTCATATGCTCATTACAAGGCTAAGGTCATAACCAACATAATTCATGTCTTGCCTTCTTTTTTACTTGGCACTGCAGATGATTTCTTAAGTCTAAGCTTTCAGTTAGGTGTCTTTCTCTCCTGATTTTTTCCTGCCTTTAATAATTTTTCTCCATAGTCTTCTGGACTAGATCATCTTGTTGTAGCAATTCCTTCCATATAATTTTCCCCTGGTTCCTTTGTTTGTTCTCTCCATTAACTTTTTACTTGCTTTCTTTGGGGTCTCAGTATAGGGTAGAACAAGTCATGCCTATCTGTACACAGTCACCCACCTAAGATCCAAGCGAGGGCTGTGTGCAGAGTTGGTACCCACACATCAGTGCTAGAAGAGCTACATCTGACCTTACACCACCTAAATTCTCTCATCCATTTCATGGCTGCAGCTAACCCTGATCTTCAAACATCAAGATTTCTCAGTGATGACTAATAATAACACCCCCTGATTATTGCCCAGTCTCCTAAATTCAGCATACTCAAATCCAAAACTTGGCTTATTACATTCTCTTCAACAACTTCATTCTTCCTTTTCTTTTCATAACTAATAACATCATTTTCTATTGACTGATCAAATGTTCATCATTATCATAATCACCCTGCCCACCTTGCTTCTCTTTTATCAAGATCAAAAAAAAAAAATCCAAGACCACCAACTCCCAAAAAAAAGATCAACGGTATTCATTATTTCTTTGCTATTACCACAGTTTGAATTTAGGGTATTATTATCTCTGGCCTATATACATAGACAGGTAGGTAGATATAATTTTTAAGCTAATTTAGCTTTTGAAACTTCATCCTTTCCCTGAGTCAATATGTTCTCTATAATTCTCATACAATCACTTCTTTGTTCAAAATCTTGCCAATTCATTTTTCAAAACTCTTTAAGTGACTCAATACTTTAGAAACAAAGGTACTTCTCATGTTTCTGATTTAATCTCATCCCCTACCACTCTCCTTCTTTCACACAATGTTCCAGGGATGGGAAGAATCTAGAATAATTTTCTACTTACTCTTCAATTTACTTTTCCACCACACTGTGTGCTCCCTGAGGCAGAATCTTTGTTTTAAACAAACACAAAGTTCCAAGGATTCTACCTTCTAAATAGCCCTGTGAGGTGTCCACTCTATTCTGACCCTACTCTCACTACCTTATTTCAGATTCTTCTTTTCACCCAGAATGTTAGAATAACTCTAAACTAGTTTCTCTCTGCATTGGTTCTAACTTTTAGACAACATTCAAGAGTGAATGCGAAGTTAGCAAATGTGCATAAAGTCTTTCATCAGTGAGGAAACCAATGAAAAAATCCCAGCTCCTTAATTTGAGAAGCTCAGATGATCTGATCCTTTCCTAACTCATCAGGCTCATCTCTTAAACTTTTCTATATGCAACCTCAGCTCTGTGCTACTCTGTGCTAAATGAGCTACTTTTTCCTATAAGCAAGTCTCTACAAATGCTAGTCTCTGAGAGACTTGCCCAGCTTTGTCTTGTTAACGAATTTTCTATGATCTTTATCATCAGGGATGATCACCTCACAAAGGAAAGCACAGTAACTTGTATATACTTCCATCACACTGTGAAGTAACCATGTGTATTTGCCTGTTTTTCCATTAGATTAAGAGCAATTTGAGCTCTAAAGATGCATTTGCTCATGTGACTATTTTAATCTCTTTATCTCAAGATCTTAAGACAAAGTCTGACCCACAATAAATATTTACAATTTTTTTTCAGATCTAAAGCTTATTAAGAGACCATTAATTTTCCTTCCCTCAAATCTCTCCTCCTTACTGATACAAGTCTAATATTTCTTAATGAGTGGCTGGATGAAAAAAATATTCCTTAGCATGAACACTCAGAATCTTATTTATCCTTTTATTAATCCCCTCACCACTTATATACTTAGCAATTGCTATGCACCAGGCACTTTGTTATTTGCTAGACATAAAAAATAAAGAAAACACAGGGCTTTGCCCTATGATATATAAGAACACATTTTCAAAACCATTCTCAATGCAATGTGGTAAAGGAACAACAGGGCATAAAACAAGATGGTACCTCAATCTGCAAAAGACTCTGAAGCATACTGCTTGAAAGCTGAAGTGCAGCAAAAACAGAATCAGTAATACATAGCAAGAGCAAATTTAATCAAGCCACTGTCCCTAGAATTGGTACAGCTAAAACTTTTTCATTAGTGGTTAATTCATAATGCTTTTAGAGGAGGAGGTACATTTGGAGACAGGTTACAAGAAGTCCCTCGGGGGCTCTGTGTAAAGTTCACAGCAGCCCTGCAGCCCTCCTTGTCTATATCATAAACACCTTGGCAATAGACACTATGTTCAAGAGCACAATGGTCCTCTTTCCTACTGAATTTCCTATATTCTTATACACTCTGAAATCTTTCAACCCTTGCTGCTGTAGAGCTTTTCAATTAAATGTTACCTATAACAGTATCCTGATTTCTTGTTTTCTTTGTTCATTACATGGACAGAGGGTGATACCATCAATTTTTAGAAATAGTATATTTTCCTTCTAATCAAGTTTTTGTCTTTATTTATTAGGCAAGAGTTTTTTCCCTCCTCTGTCTTACAATTTAATTTTCTGTTTATTTGTGTACTGATTATGCAAGAACACTAATGTTTCTGAAGAAAAATAAAATCTACATTAATTAACTGATTCTTAATAATTAAAATCAAATCAGGGTTATGCCTTTGCTATGCCAAAAATAATTAGTGTAGCTTGGACAGATTTCAAAATTTTAAGCCAGTATTTTTATTAAGAAAGAAGAATTTGCCTGGATACCTTCTATATTGTTATTATAATTTAGTGATTTAAATTATGATACTTGAACAAAAAATAGAATTGTAGAATGTCAGATTAAAAAATAAATTTAACTTCAATTTTGCTAATGCCTTAACATAGCAAAAATAGTAAGAAGTTCTAACATAATTTGTAAATTAAATGTACGATTTACATGCAGAATAATAATGAAGCATTACAGAAAATTTTAAGTACTTTTTCATTATAAAAGAAATACATAGCCTAGCATAGAGCCATACACTTATAATTTTAGCAACTCAAGAAGCTGAGGCAGCAGTATTACAAATTCAAGGCTAGCCTCAGGAACTTAGGAAGACTCTGTCTCAAAATAAAAAATAAAAAGGAATAGAGATGTAGTTTGGTGGTAGAGTGTCCCTAGGTCCAATCCCAGTATACACACACACACACACACACACACACACATACACACACACACACAAAATTGAAAAGGCTGGCAGGAAGGACCAAAGGACCACTTCATGGAAAACTTGGAAAAAAAAAAACTGTTATATTCAGGGCAATTCCCTGAAAATAATGTAATTGAATTGAATATCTACAATATGGCTTTCTAGGTATAAACTTATATCTGAATCTTAGTGGAAAGTCAATAATTATTGGTTAGTTTGTAAGATGAAAATTCTCCATTATACTCCCTTAAAAAAAAAGAAAGAAAAGAAAAAGAAAAATACTAGAATTGGAGGATGTATAAGATACACTTTCTTTGAATTACTGAAATGTTTTCACTAAGAAGAAAAAAAAGAGAATGAGAAGTTCTGTTTGTTTTTAATTTAATAATGGGTTTACTTTATCAACCTGAAGTACAGCCATACAATATTTGTTTATGTGTGCATATGAAATTTATAACCCTAATGATAACAGCAACTCCTCCAATTTTCAAGTACCTTTGGAAGGGGGAGCATGGGAGGAATAGATGAATTCTAGATAGGGCAGAGGGGTAAGAGGGAAAGGCAGGGGGCAGGGGATTAGCAAGGATGGTGAAATGTGTGATAGACATCATTATCCAAAGTACATGTATGAAGACACGAATTGGTGTCAACATACTTTATATACAACCAGAGAGAAACATTGTGCTGTAGAAGTGTAATAAGAATTATAATGCATTCTGCTATCATTTATTTTTTTAAAAAATCAATTAAAAAAAAAGAAAAGAAAATCTCACCAGAGGAGGAAAAAAAAGAATTTTAAAGTTTTTAATACTTTAATAAAAGATGTTTCAACACGTCATATTGCATCATCTGCATTTAACTTAGAAAATTACATACATAATTAAACATAAGTATTATTTCTCAGAGCTAACTACCACAATAAGTGGTTATTTATGTAAGTAAATAAAGTGATGCTCTTACCTGAATGTTGTCATAGAAAAGAACATCAGGCACTTTCATTTTCTCATGGGTATTATATATTGGTGCACTAATAGTACCAATCCTCAGTGATCCAGATACCACTTCACCTGAATGTTTTACATAAGACAGAGAATTAGTCATAACTACATCCTACAAATAATATCCAAAGATGATAAGTCCATCCAACATAAAATGTAGGAAAGCTTCTGTAACACCTTGAGCTCTTCAGGGATTTTAATTTAACATCTAAAGAAATAAGCTTGAAGATGGTAATTAAACACTACAGTTCTATATACAGCTTATAATGTTCTAAAATGTGATAATTTAAAAGCAATAAATTTAGCAAATAGTATATAGATAAAATTGAGAAATAAAAAAAAAACAACCCAGAACATAGCCAAACCATATTCATAAATTTATCTGGTCAGGATTATAATATACACATAAGCCAAGTACACATTCAAAAGCTTTCAAGTACCCCGAATATCATCTTTAGGAAGAACCTAATGAAAAACTCCACAAGAAAATCCCTGAAAGGTCTAGTAAAAAATACAGATGAACCAAACCCTTGGACCTCTTGAACTATTATTTTCAGGAATAGTTCAGAAGATCTATATTTTCAAATAAATATTCAGGTGATTCTGATAGAATAGTATCAGAAATATTCTTATTTGAAGTAGGAACTGGGAACCTTTGCCATACAGTTATTCAGTAATAACTTTTATTGTATTGTTCTCTTTTTGCTTTAAAGAGATCTTTAAATACAGGAATTTAATAATAATAAATTTCTTGAAGTCAGGAACCTATCTTAAATATTCCCTGTAGTAATCAGATATTCAAGCTCACTGACATTTTCCAATAATAACAATAACATTCATACTAATAGTGTTATAATATTAATGATCACAATAATAAAAGCTGTCATTTATTAAGGACCTTTTCATGTGCCAGATCACAAACTATGAGATTTATATTTTTCCTTATATAATTTCAAGTAACTTAACAATGAGACAAGAATTATGAGGAAACCAAGAACATAATTTAAATAATTTATTTAAAATCACTTAGCTAGTAAAAGTGGAGCTTAAAATAAAACTTAAACTAATCTGATATTCTTTCTATCAAATCAAGTATTTTTAATCTTTTGACTCCTAATAATATTCCATCCTAGGAAAATAATCCAGCAAGCAGATACACAATTACAGTGCCTTAAGTAATCCACCTATCTTTTGTTTTCCTACTTCAAATAAGAATATTTCAAATTGTTTATCTTTTAAAATGCTATTTTCAATATGTTAAGGCATATTTTAAGACAATATGGGGGAAAGCACTTGCTTCTGTAGAGTACTCTGAACAATTTTAAACTAAAAATAATTACACTGTCACATGTTTAAGTACCACTGGGTACTACACATTTGCCAGAGCATAGCAGATCTTTACCATTTTCCTTTTTCAAAAGTTCTATAGGGAAGGAAAGCCAGGAGCCATCACACTAAGTATTTAGTATTTATTTACTACCACCAGACCTTGAAATAGACCCAATATAAAACTATAAAGGGACAGAGCCAGAATATGGCAGTGAATCAACTCTTATACTTGTATGCTGAGATGACACTTGTAATTTCAGGTTCAAACAGCATCTGATAGCATCTACAATTTAGTTTGTGGAACATGTCCATTAGCTTTAGGACAATTTAATTTACACAACCAATGTTGACAAGCAAAAAGGGGATATGAACTCAGAGAATGATGCTGCTAGTACATTTCTGGGAGAAAGCTGGCTAGCTATCTTGTAAGTAATTTTACAAGATGACATTATTTTGGTAAATTTATCAAGTTCCTCAAAATCTAGTAGGCTCAAACTTAATTTTATAATCAGAACTGAGAGTAAATCTAACTTTCAGGAGAATATTAAACACATTCTGACTAAGAAAATAAAATTGCAAAATATTATATCACAATGGAAACTGCAACTTTCATATCAACTATAATACATTGTTTGCCATAAAAGCTTATTATTTGGAGTGGGACCTGCATGGAAAGCCATGTTCTCAAGAAGGTTGTTTGGTAAGCATGGACTCTAACAAGGAAAGTAAATTAATGAATTCTCTATAGGACAGATGATTTTAAAAATGAATGGTATTAGTCAATTTGAAAAGTCTCAACACTTATGTCCCTTATATTCTACAAGAGGGTCACTGCTAAGAAGGGCCTGTCTGAAATGACAGTCTTTCTTTGGATATATCAATGGATTCAATCAAATAACACTCTGAATCTTCAAGGCCCAGAGTTATTCTGTCTCTTTTGAGTTGACTCTGAATTTCTATTCAGATCTATCAGTATATTAAATTTATAATCTGACTCCAAAAACGTCATCTAATTTTCTTAATACCAAATTCTTGGTTCAGGGTAACCTCCATTATTAAAAAAAAAAAAAAGTCTACCACAAAGAGAATCACAGTAGTCTATTTTAGAAAATGGTCATACATTAAATGTTTTGATAAAACAGTTAATTACAGGGGCTGGGGTTGTGGTTCAACAGTAGAGTGCTCATTTAGCACGGATGAGGACCTGGGTTGGATCCTCAGCACCACATAAAAATAAATAAATAAAATCAAGGTACTGTGTCCAACTACAACGAAAAAATTAAAAATGAATTTTAAAAAACAGGCAATTACATTTAAAAATGGGTAAACTTTCACTGTGCTCTAACTGAAGAATAGGAAACTTTCATGAATAATTATCCTCAAAATTCAAATTTATACTTATGGCTACTCAGAAAAAAAAAGCAGCACAAACAACAGGTGGAAATGGAAGGAGTACGAAGGCATAAGATGTTATTCTGAATATTAGTTTAGTCTGAATCAAGCTAAAAAAGTTGCCCAAACATGTCCCATAGTGGTCTTCAATATTTAAATGTTGTGCAAATAAAGCAGAATTTTAGATAATATCATGAAACATATTTGGAAAAAAATATATTGTCAAAATTATACAAGTTAATTACAAAATGGATTCTCAGAGCCTTTAATTATGTTAGTATCAACTGTGACTCTTGAAGGCCAGGGAGAACCATCAAGAATGTACTGCAATGCAGTAAATATTCTAAGGTTTAACTTATAAATAGCATTCACATTTCTAAAAAACAGATTCTTCAACTCAGTACATAAACAAAATGCATTAAAAACATTTATATTGAAATTAAAATAATAGCATCAAATGTTTGATAATTATTTTTTCACTTAAAACAAAAACAAATTAAATACTTACATTTGTAATCCTCCAGGTCTGGTTCCAGATTATCATTGGTAGTTATTTCTATTGCAGCATCTGCCAGATTTTTCTCTAAAGCTGACCTAGCAAGGCTTGGTAAGAACCTGGCAGAGAATGGGGGAATGGGATGATAAAGTCAAAGTTTTCTGTGATTCTCAAATATCTTTTTTGGAGGGTACTAAGAATTGAACTCAGGGACACTCGACCACTGAGCCACATCTCCAGCCCTATTTTGTATTTTATTTAGAGACAGGGTCTCACTGAGTTGCTTAGTGTCTTGCCATTGCTGAGGCTGGCTTTGAACTCTCAATCCTCCTGTCTCAGCCTCCTGAGCCTCTGGGATTACAGGCATGCGCCACTGCATTAGGCTTCTCAAATATCTTTAAATGCACACGGGTGCACATGTACAAACACACACAACTTTAGTATTTACTACCTACTATGGGAAATTGGTCTGGATCTATGAGATTCGAAGCATACAAAATTTTTAGAATATATAAGTATAAAGTATATACTTTATAAAGTAAAGGATGTTTGCGGGATCTCCTTTAATAACTAAATAAAGCTCATTTGTACTTAGCCATACTCACTTATGAACAACATATTACAGAATAAAAATTGAAATAATTTGCTTTTTAAGTGGATTTAATATACTTCATAAATATTGTTTGTTATTGGTTTATCAAATTTTATTAAATAGATATTATAGCAATACTTTGGACTGCTCTAAGTTTACAGTCACAAATTCAAATCAATGGAGGTGAATTAGTCTTAACAAATTACTGAATGAATAATTATCAATCTTGGATCTTCCTTACATTAAAAAATATATACCTCCAGGGATAGGAATTCAACTTAGTAGCAAAGCACCGCCTAGCATGCATGAAGTCCTGGGTGTGATCCCTATTACTGCAGCATAAATAAATAAATACAAAAGTGTATCTCCATATATATTTTATAACTGTGTTGTCAATTTGGTGAGTGACAGGGGCATTCTTCAATTATAAACATATTGTGAGCAATTATAAACATATCATGTGCTGGGAACATGAAACATAGATTCCCACCCACACAATAAAGTTATACTAGTTTGATCCCAAGTGAGCCCACAGAAATAATCTTTAATCCATGATTATCTGTACCATACTTTTATAAAATAACCACTAGGAAATACAGTGTTTCAAATAAATACACTAAGAACATACCACTTATAATTTAGATCTTACACAGCTCTAAAACTTTGATAATGGTTCCAACATGTTTGAGAATAATTTTAATAATGGAGTGGTATGTGCCAGAGGCAACAGGTGTCCATAAAGGGATTGCTATGGAATAATCCCTATCCTTATAGCATTCCACTCCTAGATCTGACACTAGCTCTTAGCTACTGTTTCATTTTGATCCTAGGCAATGCAAGGGAATTCATAGACCTCTGTGCCAATAGTTCATCAGTTCAGCATCAAGTCAGACTTATCTGTTACAATGCTGACCTTTTATCATAACTCTTAGATCATTTGCCTTTTTCAAAACCATGTGCTCATTTTAACTCCCAGACCCGATAACTGGCTTTTGTTCTATTTTTTGAGCCCTGGTCCTAGTACCCCATCAATCTTCCTTTCACCATTCTCCCAGACTTAGATGGTAGTAGTGACTGTATCTGTGCACCCTGTGGTTGCATCTCCATTACTTCCTATCAGACTACCTCAATTGGCACTGCCCACTTACAAACTAGACTTGTTTGCTATTTCCAATCATCCCTGACATCACTGTGGTCTGTCAACACATCCTCAAATTGACCATGAATTGGAACCTTTCTAGATTGCCTGGAAAGCCAGTGGAGTCTAGCAAATATGGGAGGAGGGGTATAAATAAGAGTGAGGAAAAAAACAGAGGCTCAGTGTATTCAAGCAGTCTTACTTACAAGGTGTAACAAATTAATTTATTTGTTATAAAATTTATAATTTTAGGGGCTGGGGATGTGGCTCAAGCGGTAGCGCACTCGCCTGGCATGCATGCGGCCCAGGGTTCGATCCTCAGCACCACATACAAACAAAGATGTTGTGACGCTGAAAAACTGAAAAATAAATATTAAAATTCTTTCTCTTTCTCTCTCTCTCTCTCTCTCTCTCTCTCTCTCTCTCTCTCTCTCTCTCTCTCTTCCTCTCCCCCTCTCTCTAAAAAAAAATTTATAATTTTAATTCTTAAATTTACAAATAGTAATTTAAGATAACATGATTTATCCTACTTACAAATATAGTTTGAAATAGTTAAACAGAAAATTATTAATGCAGGTTTAAATGTTTAAAGATATTTAATTTAGCCAAGTTTTATAAATGGAACCAAACATTTTCTAAAGGCCCTTAAAAATGATTGTTAAGATCTCTTAGTTAGCTGAATGAACAGAAAACCACAGAAGACTTAGAATTTTTAAAATTATAGCCTTAAAAAATTGAATCAGCTTTTAAAGTCAAAAATAAATTCTAAACAGTCTCCTAAAGTAAATATTTAAGAAATAAAATTACAAGAAAATAAGCATAATTTTAATAAATTTAATGTTCAATAAATTTAGGTTAGGTAGTTTATTTACCTTTTTGTCTGTTTAATAAAATACCTTATGAATATAAATTAGGTTAATTTTTGTTTTAAAAATTTCAACAAAATTCTATTCTGTTTTACTGCCTCAAAATGGAATGAAGTCACTGAAGAATACAAAAACCGAAACAAACAAACAAACAAACAAAAAGACCCCCACACTTTATCACCAATAATTTTTTGGTACATTCCTGACATTGTGCTATCCTTGGGAGAAGGTTAGTACAAAGACTTCTAACTGTAGCTTTGCTAAAGTCAACAGATGATGCAAAAAACAAGATAAACTGTCATTTCTATTTCAAAAAGGTCATAAGGTGAGAACAAAATAGAGTTTTATTGTGGTCAGCTGTTAACACCAGAAAAATTAGCTACTTCATGCAGTGAAGTACTTACAAAAACAAAAAGTAAACATTTTTAAACTCTGAAATATTTTAGTAGTTCAGAAAATTGCAGAGATATTACAGAAAATGTTTTTACAAGTATAACATGGTAGCTGTTTTTCATTTCAAATTTCATTTCCCTTATTAGTAATGAGGTTGAATATCTTTTGAGATGTTTATTAGCAATTTGAATTACTCCTTCTTCTCATGAATGCCTATTCATCCTTTGCCCATTTAGGGTTGATTCTTTTTCCTTAATATTTGTAGTCCCTTGAATACCAATATTTTCTTGACTGTAAATCTTGTAAAACATCTTTTCCTAGTTTATTCTAATAGTCTATTTGTCTTCCCTTACACAAATACAAAATAAATATGAAGAATACGGTTTAACAATGCATCTTGATATCTGATAGAGTAAGTATACCCTGCTCAATCTTCGAAATTTCCTACACTGTTTTTGGAATTTGATTCTTACATGTCAACTTTAAGGTCTGTGAAGTTATTTTCAAAAACAATTCGCACATGGATGAGTGAATCCAGGAGGAAGACCCAACCAAATGGGTGCCTGGGTGGCACCATCCAATAGACTTGGGGCCCAAATGGAACAAAAAGTGGAGAAGAAGGAAGCCTACACACATGTGCAAGTTGGATTCTTGAGCTGGTGCATTTTTTTGCTGCTTCTATCACCTGTGGACATCAGACTCCAGCTTCTTCTTTCTTCCAATGAGGACTCACACCTGTGACTCTTTGGGGACCTTCTAGGACTTTAGCCTTTGACTGGGTGGCATCATTGTTCTTCTTGTTCTGAGGCTCCAGCTTCTTGGACTGAGTAGCTACTGATTCTCTGGCTGTCCAGCCTGGGAAAGCCACTGTGGAACTATCCAACCTCTGATTTTGTAAATTAACCAAATAAATCTCCTTTTATAATTAAAAAAAAATCTTTTCAAATGCACTATAACCTTGTGGGATTTTCATTAAATTATATCTGTATTTCAGTTCTGGGGGAAACAGTTTTAAACTAATGAATCCTTCCTTTCATGTAGGTATAGCTTCCCTTTTAAGTCCTCTTTTGTAAATTTCAATAAAAATTTGTACTTTTCTCCATAGAAGCATTACATGCTCAATGACTAGATTTATTCATAGGTGCTAGAGTACAGGAATGTTACTGAGTACAGTACATAAATAGCCTCACTAAACTTTATTTGTTCAAATAATTTACATGTATTATCTTTGGATTTTTTTGTGTAGTCAATGATATAATCCTGGGTAAATGCACATATTAAAATATAGAAAGATGATATTCTTGCTCTGTTTCTAATTCTAAAGAAAACATGCCAAGTGTTTTGCCAAAAGAATCAGCTATAAATTTCTGGTACATATTCTTTATCAGATTAAAGACTTTCCCAACTATTCATGATTTACTAAAAATAAACTTGGTTTACTAAGTGATGTTTGGTTTTGCTTTGGTTTCATTTTGGATTTGGCTATTTGATTTTATGAAATACTTTTTCTTTATCAAAATAGTATCTTTTCTCAATAATATGTTTTAACAGTGAAGTAAGAATAGAATTTTGGACCTTCTTCACATTCTTGAGATAATTCTGAATTTTTCAAAAGTTTTAGAAATGTAACATACATTTTAAATAAATCAAAACCAGGTACATTTTAATAAAAGCGAAGTGAAAAGAGAAAACCTCAGAAATAACATCATCTTTTTGCTATAACTGAACATTTTTGTCCCTTCTAAAATTCACATGTCAATACCCTAATCTCCAACAGTGAATTTGTGCTAACTTCTAGCTGGGAACACCTGTAATCCAAAACTACTTGGGAGGCTCAAGTAGGAATACAGCCTGGCAATACAGTAAGACCCTGTCTCAAAATTAAAAATAAAAACGGCTGGGGATGTGGCTCAGTGGCAGAACACCCATGGATTCAAACTCCTCCCCCACCACCCAATGCAGGAGGAAAGAAGGAAGGAAGGGAGGAGGAAGGAAGAAATTGGTTAACTTTAAACATTATCTCATGTTTATTTTTTATGCTCATTTTTTTCTTTCATTTCTACCTATGTTGCATTGATATCAGTTTTTCTCCGTTTGTTCATTTTAATCCCATAAGATCTATTTCCATACTTTTTTGTGGTTACCCAAAATTTATGCATGCATACTTGAATTACCAACTACCAAGTGATTTGATACTTCTATTCTCTTCCTAAAAAATATAACTAAGGGCTGGGGTTGTGGCTTAGCAGTAGTGTGCTCGCCTAGTACAACGCAAGGGTCTGGGTTCAATACTCAGCACCACATAAAAACAAACAAATAAAATAAAGATATTTTTAAAAAAAGAAAATAGAACTAAAATATTCATCTTTTTCCATTTTCTATAGTCTCTTGTTTACTATTGGTTTCACCTTGTTGTTAAAAATTTCCCTATATTATTAATATTCATTTTTATTTCTTTATTTTTCATAATACATTTAAATTTCCCATAAAAATTTCCCTATATTATCAGTATTCATTTTTATTTCTTTACTTTTCATAATACATTTAAATTTCCCATAAAAAATTTCCCTTTATTATTAGTATTCATTTTTATTTCTTTACTTTTCATAATACATTTAAATTTCCCATATATTTACCTATTTTTTCCCTAATATTCTTTTTTAAAATTTGTTCTTTTTAGTTTTACATGATAATAGAAAGTATTTTGACATATCATATGTACATGAAATATAACTTCCCATTTTTGTAGTTGTACATGAAGTGGAGTTACACTGAACGTATATTCATTTGTGAACATAGGAAAGTTATGTCCAATTCAATCTACTGTGTATTTCCATTTTTCAGCCAATAAGAATAATATTGCTAGGAACATATATGTACAAGTTTTTGTATGAACATTGTAAAATTTCTCTTGGCTAAAAATCCAGGAACAGAATTGCTAGGTCCCATGGCAACCTCAAGCTTACTTCATTTCTTATACCTGAATTGTGATATTTTCTTCCTTTCAAGTTTAAATAAGAAAAAATTATTATTTTTTATTATATTTTTCCACAATTTCTAACTTGGCAGAGTGAACAGAGAATATTTACTTCAGTTTGTCTTGCTTATGTTTTTCAATGGCTTCTACACTCTTTAATTCAACATGTTTTAAAAATATTAGTGTTTTAAAAGAGATTCTTTAAGTTTTCTGTCTCATATAAAAGGAAAAATATGGAATCACTCTGAAATTACTTCTTTTAATGTTCTCAAATATCTATCCAAATAAAACATCTGATGAAAATCAATTCCTTAATTCTTTCTCACCTTTATTAAAAATTTTCTCACATTTTCTATGTAGACTGTATGACTATTAGTAATAAGTTAAATTTTGCCAGTTATCAACATCCTCAGATGCTTTATTTTATTTATTTATTTTTGACAGTACTGGAAATTGAACTCAGAGATTTGTGTACGCTAGGCTCAAAGCTCTACCACTGAGCTATATTCAGCTCTCTCAGATGCTTTAAGATAGTTGATATTAGTTCTCCAAATTTTGATGATTGTTGTTTATTTACTGGATTTACTCTTGTATTTTTTTTAAATAGAGGAAACCGAAAGTTGATTTGATTGCCCACCTATATCTTACAGGTCATAGAATTTTGGAGGTGTGGCTAGTTCATTCTAACATATTCATACTACTGTTTTTCCTTGAGCTTCAAAGTTGTTTACACTGCTTAGTACTCAGTGTCAACTTCTATTATCTCATATTTATAACAAATCCTATATAAGACAAAATATTGTTTAGGTAATTACACTATCTATATTTTCTTCAGTTTATAACTCAAAAATAGGTGACTGAAGACTTTTTGTAAATTTTCGTTGGAAATCTCATATTCTAGTTAAAGAAAAGGAGTCATTTTTGTTACGTCTCAAAAAATTACTCTAAAGTCACTGGAGAGTCTCAGTTTAGCTGGATACACCACAGGAAAAACAAATTCAAGTTGCAACATTAAGGAGTTTAATTTAACTAAAAGAAAAATTGTCTATTACATTAAAGAGTTACAAAGGACCATTTCATATTATCCTAAGCCATAAATAGATTGATTCTCTTTTAATTCCTCTAATCAAGGAATAATGGACAATATGCATAACTATCATAAAAATCACAGCAATAGAATTTGAAGGATGAAAATATTAGAACATATGAAAAGGGTCTGAAAGAACACTCTGGGCCTACTGGGATTTTTTTTTTTTTTTTAATTTTATGTGTGAACCATGTACACTGGAGCTATAACAGGTCTGGCACTGTGCGCTGATTGGGCTATAAGTGTTCCTTTCCTCTGTTCTGCCTGTGATCCCACACAGCACCTGAGATGGGTATGATTTGCCAAGATGTCAATCAATCTGCTGACCACAAGACATCACAAAGCAAGACTCCACCTTTAAAATATTATCCCCTGCTTTATATTGGTGTATACAAAGTATATATATTCACACCATTCATGTCTTCATATTCATAATATATATATATATTATGGTTAATGATGCTTATCTCATTCTACCATCTTTTTCTTACACCCCTTACTCCCTCTCTTCTTCTCCCTCTCCTTAGCTCTATCTAGAGTTTGTCTAATCTTCCCATGCTTCCCCTCCCAACCCCATTATGAGTCAGCCTCCTTATATCAGAGAAAACATTTGGCATTTGGTTTGGGGGGATTGGCTAACTTAGCATTCTATTCTCCAAATCCATCCATTTTCCTGCAAATGTCATGATTTTATTCTCTTTTATTACTGAGTAATATTCCATTGTGTATATATACCACATTTTCTTTACCCATTCATCTACTGACAGGCATCTAGGTTGGTTCCACAGTTTAGCTATTGTGAATTGTGCTACTACAAACATTGATGTGGCTGTGTCCCTGAAGTATGCTGTTTTTAAGTCCTTTGGGTATAGATCAAGGAGAGGGATAGCTGGGTTAAATGGTGGTTCCATTCAAAGTTTTCCAAGGAATCTTCATACTGCTTTCCATATTGACTGTAGCATTTTGCAGTCCATTAGCAATGTGTGAATGTGCTTTTTCCCCACATCCTTGCCAACACTTATTGTTCTTTATATTCTTAATAGCTGTCATTCTGACTGGAGTGAGATGAAATCTTAGAGTAGTTTTGAATTGCATTTATCTAATAGCTAGAGATGTTGAACATCCAAATGCTTCTTTCTTTTCCCTTCTATAAGAGTTTTACCAGGGGTAACAATGTGCACACTACATTGCATCTCATAGGCTGTTTGCTTATAAATCCAGCCTGTGAAAATTAGTTTTGAGAGAGAAAGATTTGGTTTAAGAGGGAGAACACGTTATATCTTTCATGTCTTGTCTGGACCCTTGTCGCGAGCCATCCATGGGCTCTATGTGTGAACTATGTGCATTGGAGCTAAAACAGGTCTGGCTCTGTGCGCTGATTGGGCTGTAAGTGTGCCTTTCCTCTGTTCTGCCTGTGATCCCATACAGCACCTGAGATGAGTGTGATTTGCCAAGATGTCAATCAATCTGCTGACCACAAGACATCACAAAGCAAGACTTTACCTTTGAAACATTATCCCCTGCCTTATTTTGGTGAAAAACATTCCATTGGATCTCCTTTGTGGGTCACCCACCCATAAAAATAGATTCCTGGTACACGCTCTCTTTTCAGTGCTGCTCAGGGTAGATGCTGACCCTAAGGTTGCAGAGACATCCTTCCCTCGACATGAAATCTACTTCTGTGTTGTGTGATTTCTTGCCATTTTCTTAGTTAATGTTGCAGCCAGCTATTTTGAACCCAGCTCATCTTGTCAGTGTGGGCAGCTGTTGAGAGACCCTTATAATGAATTTGAGCCCTTTAATACAGGGATATAAGTGGCATAAATTAACATTTTCATGATGTACCTACTGAGACAGTGAGCACAAACCAATCTGCTTATAGGATGACTCAAACATATTGTAGGTATAAAAAAAGATGCTTCCTGATCATACCTAGTATTGGACTTATTGTGAAAATATATTTGGTAAATAATATAGTATCCAATAAACCATTTTTTAATATTTCGAAAATATTTTATGTGAGTCAACATAAAAAAAGGAAAAAAATTAAACTAGACCTAATATCAACTTAAAAGAATAAGATTTATATTCAAGAAGATATTTTATGTTAACTGGGATTGTTCTTAATCTTTTTTATTGCTCTTTTAAAATGGTTTCATGAAAAGGTGATTCTGTAAGAAAATTCTATAAGTCAATATTTTATAATCATTTCCCATTGGTATGAAAACTATTAGTGTAGACTTAAAACATCTTAGTTTTGTTAAAATTAGAGAAGAGGACAGTACTATCAAGCATGGAAAATCCCAAGGCAAATTTGTAAGGTGATAAGTAAAATGCACAAAAGCCCCAGCTCTGAAGACCTATGAACCAGCATTCAAGTCTCAGACCTCTACTACGTGATCTGAGCAAGTAACTCAGTTTTCTCATCTGTAAAATACTTCTTAAAATTGTTTAAAATTTGGGGCTGGGGTTGTGGTTCACTGGTGAAACACTCACCTAGCACGTGCAAGGCCCTGGGTTCGATCCTCAGCACCACATTAAAATAAAGGTATTTTGTTCAACTACTACTAAAAAAACAAATATTAAAAAAAATTGTTTAAAATTTTGTATTATTATTATTATTTTATTTTATTTTATTTTTTGGTGCTAGGAATTAAAACCAGGGCTTCATACCTGCTAAGCTTATATTGTACCACTGAGCTACACCCCCAGCCTTGTAATTGTTTTCATGCCCAAATAACATAATATATTATACTAAGTAAATTCTAATGACTGATGACTAGGCTGAAATATTCATATATTTAGACCAATACTTTTTATGAACCTGTGAATGTAGACTATCAATTAAATTTATGTTGTGTTTTAGCAAAGATCCAAAGACTTGAAGTCAGTGTGAAAGAAGAGTATGGTTACCTGGAAAGACAAGCTTTTGTAATAGCATTGTGAAGATTTTCATTAGGATACTGTGACAGCCGACGAGAAATCCGCAACAATTGTCGAGTAGAAAGTGATGCTGCCAAGGACTGTGCCTATCAAAAAGGTAAGGAAAGTCTGTTAAGAGACCTGCTTCAACTTATTAAATAACCTTTAAATGGGTATCACAGCAGAATTCATTACTCCTGAAGGATAAGGCCCAGTTTAAATTAAATATGCACTGTTAATGAATTACAAATAAAAATAAACAAATCAATGTGCATTTTAAATATCTGTAAAGGCAATTTTTTCAATATAAAAAGTATCAATTCAATTCAAGTTATTTTAATTGTGCTAAGTGCTATATTCATATATTGGGGTGGAGGAGAGTGAATAGGTGAAGGGTATTATACAACACAGGTCATACCTGTCTTAAACATAATTCCTATGTACAAATGACTATTTGTTTCTCTTTTTTTTTCCCCCTAATTTGTTAAGGTATTCTAAAAATTCCTAGAACTTTAAGGAAATCTCTTGTTTCTGAACCAGAGAAAAGGAGTTGTGGAATATTTTAGGGTGCTGACCACAAATGTGTAAATCAGTTTGTTATCTTGTGTGGCAGCTTGATGTTTGAAATCCTTCCCCTCTACTGTCAGAATAATTTCTTTTTCTTTTCTTACTTTCTCAGATTCCACTCACAGAGTTGCTCCTGTTGAACCTAGGACATGGTAAGTGCTCAATAAACATTTGCTGACTTGAACTTGAAATTCTCTTGGCAGATACCATAATATCATGATAAAGTTTATAGGCTTTAAGTTTGATAAGTCAGACTCTTCATTAACTGTATGAACTTCACAAAATTATTTAACCTTTCCAAGCCTCAGTTTCCTCATTTTTGAAATGGCAATGATAATACACTTACCTTTAAGGTTGTTTTGAGAATTACATTAGAAAAAGATTTTGAAGCATTTAGTACAGGTTGGAAAAATATGAGTGCTCAACAGGTGGCAAAGATCATTAAAATAGTTACCCTCTTCACAATGAAAAAAAATCAGAGAGATGAAAGGGATGAGACATTACCATAATTTTAATGAGCCAGATTGTTAATGGCCTAATTCTCAACTCAGATCGGCAATGTTAGGAAAACAGTGATTTCCACTGAAAACCAGAGAAGGATTTTTGAAGCAACTCGACCTTTGGGAAGGCACACCAAAGACAAGAGTGAAATGTAGTAGGTGACAGGAGCACTAACATGGCTCAAAGGGCCTAATAAAGGAGATTCTATAAAATTAACAAAGGTTCAAAATAGATAAGGGGAGAAAGCCAAAGACACATTTCACATTAATTTTCTTGTTCAAAGTTTTCACCTAAGGTCATCTCTGTAAGTCCCAAAGAAGAAAAATTTATTGACTATTTCTTTCCTCACCAACTTCAGCTTCATAAGATATTGATCTACTGTTATCAGTACATATTCTCTATTACACAACATGTTCTAAATTTCAAAGAACTCATTCACAAGCAAACATTTGGTGCATCCTTGTTTTCAATAAATTTGCATTCTAGACATAGAGACAATATTTAAAGATAAGAAACCATAAATTTCAATTCAAAATAGCATGTAATTTAATGCTAAAATAAGTGGAACAGTTGACAACTGCTACAGTGGCTTAAAATGTTCCAGTAGGCAGGAGAACTGCTACAAACAAAGGCATGAAAGCAAATGGAACACAAATTCATGTAAGCTGTGAGGACATCAGCACAGCTCTACTACAGAGCCCTGCTGAAAGGCTTGTTCTCAAATATCAAAGGAACTCTGAAGAGTTTGACCTTATTTCTAAACGAAAGGGAACTTTGTGCAAAGAAGTACCCTGATTTTAGAATAAAATTATCTGGCTTAATTCCTGACTTAAATCAGCAGCCATATGTAAAGTAGTTGAAGGACAGAGAGCCTACAATCAGGAAACAGAAAGTTACTTTGTTAATCTGCCTATGAAAAGATAAAATCCTATAGTCCAATTATGGCAGCAAACATGAAGAGAAAGGATGCAACAAGTATCTCAAAGGACTTTCCAACTGAGAGGAACTAAGGATAAGATTCAGCCAGTATGGCTGAAAGTATCAGAGGCTAGAAATAACTTAGAAATCCCCATCCTTAATATCTAGCACGATGAAATTTTCCTATTTTAATCAAGAAAAAGTTTAAACTCCCAACAGAGGCTTCTGATGACAAGAATCTTATTAAACCCTCAGGTAACTTTCTAGGATATAACATTTTAATCTCATTCTAAGCATAACACAGAGTTCAGACTTCACATTTAATTCTAGTGATCAGTGAGGATTTCTCATGAATTTGAAGAATAACAACTCCTTCAGTTGATGGAACCAAAATGTTCTGCAATAATATGCAGTGTTGAAAAAAATCAGAATTAAGATATCTGTTGAGCCATTTACGTGTTGAATAGAGAGTCTAGTAATTTCTGTTCTCATATTTTTGATTAAAAATTGAGAGTATACTTTAATTTAAAATTCCTAATGTATTTAACATTCATAATATCAAATTTCTAACTACAGTTTTATCTGTAGAAAATAGGATGAAAATAAGAAGCATTAGTTACCATGATTATGCAATTTAAAAGCATACCAAAAAGGATTTTATATATTAACATGATTATTAGTACCCATCTTAAAAATATAAAAGATCTTATCAGAAATTAATAAAATAACCTTTCTTTCTCCTGTTGAGATCACAAGTCAAGAGAAAAATGTAGGGGTGATCAGCTAATAAGTAATTATTTAACAAATTCATTGATTCATTCATTCATCAAAGATTTAAGTGTCTACTATGTGCCAGGTACCAACTAGCCTGGGAAATAAGAATAAAAGAATAAACAAGACCCAGACTCAAAAAGTTCAAGTATTAATTGGGGATATAAAAATAAAGTTTAATACAACAGCAATGTCTCAATATCAGAAGTATACACCAAGTGTCATGAAAGCAGATGAGAGACAGAGGTTACTTCTGCCTAAGGAGGATGAGAGACTTGACAGAATAGAGAATCTGAGGGACAAGTGGATGGGAAAAAAGCATATTTCAGTCATAATACAGAGCAGAGTAGTGGTAGAGTCAAAAAAAAAAAAAACAGGAAGAAGCCATGTGTGAACAGAGCTGAGGGGGCGTCAAAAGAGGTTGTAGGAAATGAGACTGGAAAAAAAGGGGTTGTCTTTAATCTGTGGACAAAGAGAATGAATCTCCTAATAGTTTTAAAGAAAGGGAAGAACTCCATAAACGGATTGAGAAAGTTCATTTCAAGGACAATAAAGAAGACTCATTCATTCATTTATGTAACAGATACCTGTTGAATACCTACTGTGTTGCAGACAAAGTTCCAGATTCTGGAAATACCACAGAGAATAAAACAAACAAAAGCCAATACTGCTGTGGATAAAAATCCAAGTGAGGGAAAGCAGAGAACAAAAAATAAGTGACTAAAACATGTCTATTGTGTCCAAAGGTCATATAAGTCCTCTGAAAAACCTTAAGGTAGGCAGAGAGATAGGAATAAAATAGAGAAGAAATTTAAGAAAGCTTTACTTAAAAAGTAACACCTGAGAGAATATGACATTTAAAAAGTAACACCTGAGAGAATATGACATTTAAAAAGTAACACCTGAGAGAATCTGAAAGGTGTGAAGGAGTAAATGTGCAGCCATCCGGAAAAGAGACACATGGGCAGAGGAAATGTCAAGTAGCAAAGGCCTCGAGGCAGGTACTACTGTGGTCATGGAATAGCAAAGAGATCAATACAGCTAGCTGAAGAATGAGTAGGACGCTGGAGATGAGGCATTAGATGTTAATTAACAGGAAACATGTGACATCTAGAAAATGGTCCAGGGTCCTCCAACCCTAAACCCTTCCACACAAAGGTATCCACATCATAATCTCTGGAATATGTGAACGTCACTTTTTATGACAGTTTTCTTTGCAGATAGGATAAGATTTTGAAATAAGGAGATAATTATTTGGGTGAGCCCTAAATGAAATCTTATGTAAGAGGGAAACAGAGGGAAATTTGGCACAAATACACAGACAAGGTGACAAAAAGATGGAGGCAGAACTGACATGATGAGATCACAAGTCAAGGGGTGCTGGAACCCACCAAAACCCAGAAGAAGCAAGGAAGATATTCTGCCCTGGAGCTTCCCAGGGTACAGCTCTGTTGATGCTTTGATTTTGGATGACACTGATTTATAAATTTTGTTGTCCACCAGACAAATTTCTGTTCTCTTAAGCCACCAACTTATGATAATTTGTTATAACAGCTATAGGAAACTAACAGACAACCCCTTGATGAATGAATTGTTGGTAAAAAGAGCAGTAGAGAGGAAATAACAATATCCCAGGGGAAAGACTGTGAAATCTGATATGAAACAATTATTGACAATAGATCAAAGAAGAGATATGACATTTAAAGATGCTAAATTGGTGAAATTTACTTTCCTATTAAAAGAAGACTTAAGAAATGCAAGGAATTAAAAATGTCAAGCTTTCTAACTTGGGTAATTTGGTAAATTATTAAAGGAAATTAAATTGGGAACACAATTTCAAGGGAAAAGATAGCTTAGTTGTACTAGATAATTTATAGTAATCTCAAAGTTATCTAGTTGAAAAGTAAAGAAACTGACATTTTTAAAGCAGTTACTAAAGAGGAGATTCTTTACATAAATTTTAATGTTTAATCACTGCAACCTTCTTCTGAGATAAATGGAAATTTTGCCATTTTACAGATGAGAACACAGAGTTACAGAGTTAGAAAGTGATAGGACTTTATGTTTTCAACATGCCATCCCGGGATAGAAATACAAATAGAGGGGGTTGGGTATGGTTAGAAACAGGACACAGCTATAAGAATAGATGCTGCTGCTCAGTGAGAGGTATGAAGGGAACAAAGTAGAACCCCAAGAGTCCCAAATATTCCCATAAAGTAAAAAATTATATTCTCTACATGAGCCACAAAGATCTGGAAAAAAATGTTAAAATCACTGAAATCGTAGTTAAACATATGTACAGAAGAAACCAAAGATAAAGGCTAAAAATGCCAATTTAACAACAGATTTTAAAACAACAGCATGTCAACAAGAGAACATCCTTTGGCAAAGCCCAGACTTACCGTTGGATCCCGGGTCTCTCTGAGTTTGTGTGTAAATGATAACAATTTATTCAAGGCTTCCTGAGGAATATTTGGGACCTATTTTATGAGAGAATTGAGGAAAATCAGAAAAAATAATTAGGATATCTGTTCAATTGGCCAGAAATGATAACTATTTAGCAAATAATATTAGAATTACATTTATAGAAAGTACATGATTATTAATTACATACATAGTTCATGAATCAGTATGAAGCTACTCTTCTCCATATACAATTTAATCACGAGCATAAAACAAAACAATTTTTGCAATTAAAAACTGACATATAGTGTAACCATTAAACGTTTTCATTTCTGGTTTTGTTAGTTTCATTGTGAATTTTAAACTCTGATTTAGGCATTTTCATTACTAAAACAAAATTGCTTTATATGTGTGTGTCTGTCTACTAAGAAAGATAAGATACTATTGTGTAAAGAATGCTCAAGGTATCCTTTTTTTCCTCAAAAAATTTTAATCCTCATACTTGAGGGCCATAATCAATTCAGGAGAGCAGCTGCTCAAATAAAAGACATTAATTGCTTTTAACTATTATAAACCTTGATGTAACTAAATATCTAATTTAAACTATAAGAATTTAATCAATAACTTTCAATTTTTAATTTAAAAGGAATAGAAATGATGTTACAATGATGATTGGCATAATATGACCATTTTGAAAGTACACTACTCAGGGTGTCTTGGGTCACTTAAGTAAATGGAAGTTTTTAGAATTTTAATTCTATTCCTTATATACTTTACCTTATTTATTCTTTAAATAAATCCCATGGTATAAGATGTAGTATTATCCCTATTTTCAGGTGAGAAAACTGTGATTGAGTAATTTATCCAAGATCTAGAAGCTAATATGTAGTAGATTTGACATTTAAGAGTCAAGTTGCTGAACCCTAAAGCCTATACCCTTGTACACAACCATGCTCACAATACCTAAAATTAACCATTTCATTCTGGTATTTCAAAGGAAATGAATCCATTTATGTAAAATGTTCATTTTTAATGATCTAAAACAGCACTCTCCAATAGAAGTTTCTATGATGATGGAAATTTTCTTTATTTGTGCTAATACAGTAGTCAACACATCCCACATAGCTACTGAGTACTTGAAAGGTGACTAAGAAACTGAGTTTAAAATTTTTTGTTTAGTGTGGCTAATGCTATCACATTGAATAGCGCAGTTCTAGAACTACAAAGTGGTAAACATAATGCTTGGTTAGGCCAAACACTTCAATAATGGATCACCCACATATCAGAAGCTACCAATTGACTAGGCAGGTAAGTGTAAGATTATAGTCCTGAGGGAACCAAGAACTACTTAGTATTTTCTCTAAAATCTAAGGAACTAACTATATATCTGGCCTTTTCTTATAGTAGGAAGTTAAAATAGTCACTTCTGACTGAATATAAACAGAAAGGAATTGCAAAACTCTGCATAAGATAGGGGAAAGGTGGCCTCAACCTGTGGTTCTCAAAGTGTGGTCCTCAAACCAGTAGCATCAACTATCACCTGAGAACCAGTCAGAAATACAAATTGTCACATACCATCTCAAATCTACTGACTCAAAAAACAGAGATGGAGCTCAAAAATCTGTGTTTTATTGAACCCTTCAAATAATTCTGAAAAATGTTAAGAGGTTAAGAACCATTGACTTATAGTATTATATGAAAATATTTGGAAATAAATGTGGAGGAAAAGACAAAATGCCCCATTCTGCCCCAGCATGTATTAGGGTACATTAGAAAGAGAACAGCTATAGACATTAGGCTATCACTGGCCTTACTCTTACCATTTCCTTAATCACTTGGATTTCTTCACTTTTGACAAGGGGTTTCATGTAATGGAAAAAGAACATGGTCAAGAATTCTGGTCCCAGCCACTGCTGTGTTGTGCTTCCAATAACAGGGGGCTCTGCCAAGGCAATGATTCTAAAGGAAGGGTGTATAGGAAAAATGGATCTAAAAAGGAAAAATAACAAGAAAACATAACCTTTCACATTAGAGATTAGGTCATGGTAATTGGAGTCTAGGCAATGATAACCCTATCATACTATTAATGTCCAAATTGTTATTCAAAGAATGAGTTTAGAAAAAAAAAAGTCAGGGTATCCCAAGCTCCTAAGATTAAGAAAAATAACACAATTACTAATACTAATAAAGGTTGTACAATGTCTATTTACGAAACTCCAGTCCTAACACAAATCACTGCTTGTAACGTGTTGTTATGCCTTCAAAAAACTTTCCCTGAAGTCCCTTAAACTAAAATCCCATTCAGTTCATATTAATTATCTTTATCACATTTATATTAATCATACTCATTCTCTTTCTTTATTTAAAATCTCCTAAAAATCTTCTGTCTTGCAAGGAGGCCACTCTATGTCAATCAAAGAAAGACCAAAAAGCATGATTCAGGATAGGGAAGACTTTTTCAAATACAAAAAATTAAAGCAGCTGAAGGGGGTTACATTAAATTTAAACTTTAGATCAGCAAGAGAATACTTAGGTCTTAAAAAGGTAAAGAAAAACAAAAAGGAGGAAAAAGGGAAGATACTAGGGAATGAAAAAGATCAAAGTAAATTGTTGTATTGTGTGCATGTTATGAACATATAAACATGAATCCCACTATTATGTATAATTATAATGCACAAAAAAATGTCTAAAAAAAGCAAAGAGAACCAAAGCTTAACATAATCCATTCTTTTGGCATCATTATAGAAATGCTACAATTTTTAAAGTGATGTTCTTAAAAAATCTCTCTTAGGAAAATTGAGAAGGCATATAAACATTTTAGTACACATAGAAGAAAAAGATAAGACTTCCCATGGCTAGTGAAATAACTTGAGTTGGTTGTAGATGAGAGATAGGAAACCACTTATTACAACCTAAGCATGTGGGAAATATTGTCAGGTTTCATCAATTCTATTTAAAAACCCATCAGAAATATTGCTGTTAGAGGGTAATATAGTTAATGCTGAGGAAAAGTAAATAAAAAGTGAAATACTTATCAAGATTTTCAGAAAAAACAAAAAAATCAGTATATAACTATATTTCAACATTAACTATTTCACTGGTACCTGAATTAAGTGACTAGGTTGCCAGACTACTGGGAGGTAGGACATGTAAAAAGAATCAGATGAGTACTTTGAAGAGTTCAAATAAGAGGAAGTCATATCAATACAGTGGGTATGTCTACCAAGTCCTTCACTACATGATCTGTAATTTTAGAGTACGTAAATCACCTAATAATTTTAGAGAGCATAATTTTTAAACCAGAGAAAAGCAATTTTAGAAATGGCCATATAGAAGACCTGGATGGATTCATAAAAACTACCTGATATCCTTTCATTTATCTAGGCAAATAAAAAAAAAAAAAAAAAAGATGTTCCAGCAGGACCTGAGGAATGATCTGTCCCAAAAAGTTGTTCTGGAAAAACAGGGAAGGACAACAACATGGATAGTGCCTGAAAGTCCTGAGGACAGCATGGTCATTCAGGATTGCTAGTAATTAGTAATATACCAGAAAAAGGGCATGGGACATCCTGAGATCAGAAAACTAAAGAGGCAAGTTATTTCATTTCCTATTTTAGCTAAGTAGTTTGTTATAATTCAGATCACTGTTATAATTCAGATCACTCTGCCTCAAGGCCGATCAAGATAACATCCTTGATCCTTCTGATTCCTAATGGGGACAAAAAAAAGATGGAAGACATAAAGCCTGGTTTGGATACACAAAATTAAATCTGTAGATGTAGATTTTTACCTAAGATAGTGAGGGATAGCAAATCAGGGAGTAAACAGAGTCTAAATTCAACAGGTAGCCAGGCATGGTATTGTGCACACATAATCCCAGAGACTCGGGAGGTTGAGGTAGGAGGACTGCAAGTTTGAGGCCAATCTCAGCAACTTTGTGAGGACCCTGTCTCCAGATAAAATAAAGAAAGGGCTGGGTTACTGGGGTTAAATCCCCAGTACTGCCAAAAAAAAAAAAAAAAAAAAAAGGAAATCCAACAGGCAAGGCAAAAAGGAAAGCCCAATTTATATCATTAAACTAAGAGATTAGGAAGCAAGTACTATGAGAACAAGGGAGGTGGCCTGAATTTAAATAAGGTGATAGAGCCATTGCCTGAGATATTTACTGTCTGTGGCTTGCTCTTTAATTTTGATTCTCACAAGGTACTTCAGTAAGATGGCCAGATTTGGAGGGGGCATTTCTGAGATAGCTGATGTGTTGGGCATAGAAGGCTATTCTGACAATAAAAACAACCACCAAACTACTGAATAACAGGATGAGAAGAACCTTTTTGTTTTTCTAGGCTCTCCCCACAAAATTTCTTTACATACAAATAGGTTACATAGAGAGTTATTTCCTGAGTTAGATTCCCCAAGTCTGAAAGTTAGAGAGCAGAGGTTTTACCATGGATTTCAGAGTGACTTGACAAACCACGGGTAAAACTAAATCGGAAGAAACTGGTTCATAATTGAAAATAAGGAAACAAGCACCAGGAAAATTTAAAATCAAAGTTAGGTTTAATTTTACCAGAATTTAACAATGACAAAAACAAAAAAGATACTTACTTTCACATGGGCATTATTTCCTAAGGATTAAAGATTTAAAAAGCAAAAATGTATTTTAAGAGGATTTTTAAAGATTTAAAATATTGGGGTCAACATTTGAAATATTGGGGTCAATATGTTTGTAGACAGAGGTGTTTCTTTAATTTTTTTTTTTTTCTGGTACTGGGGTTTGAACCTAGGGGCACAATACCACCTAAGCCACACTACCAGCCTTTTTATCTTTCTTTTTTTTTCTTTTAAAAAAAATTTTTTTTAGATGTTGATATATGTTTATTTTATTCATTTATTTATATGTGGTGTTGAGAATCGAACCCAGCACCTCACACATGCCAGGCAAGAGTTCTACCACTGAGCTAAAACCCCAGCCCCTTAATTTTCTAATTTTGAGACAAGGAAGACAGAAAGTTGTCCATACTGGCCTCCAACTTTCAATTCTCCTGAGTCTCTGTGATTGTCAATGTGTGCTACCATGCTCGGCATAAATGTTTGTAGAGACTAAAATACTTATATAATTATAGTTTCTCAGCAATAAAACGAAGCAAACTACTGATACACAACATGGATGATCAAAAATAATTAAGTTGGGTAAAAGAAACCAGACAAAAAAGAATATATACTGTGTGATTCCATTTACATAAACCCTAGAAAATACAAGCTATATATAGTGACCAGAAGAAGATCCCTGGGGATGGCAGAAGACAGTGAGAATGGGCAGGAGGAAGGGATTACACAGGGGTCTGAAGAAACTTTGGAGATTCTATATGCACTCAATATCTTGATTGTGGCAATAGTTTTGCAAGTATATATAAATATCAAAAATCATCAAACTGTACACTTTAAATAAAGTTTATGACATGTCAATGATCCCTCAACAAAGATTTTAATAAATAAAAAAGGCACTGATAAGCTCCCATCTTTTGAAAGACATTATATGGCATATTTTTGCTGAATTTACATATTAAGGCACTTGAAAGAATTATACAGAAGGTTTCTATAATGACATCAGTCATGGGCTGGAAAAGGATTTTTAAGTTGGCCTTCCATGCTGTTATACTTATGGTTCCATTTCAGAACCTAGAAGTTGCATAGTTCCATACATAGCTCATATTTCATTTTTTCCTGTGCAACAAAGCAAGTTGCACAGGAAAAAATAGACACATTCCTAATGTTTCCTTATACCATACAAGATCTAGGGTAACACCTGGAAGAAAGCAGATGCCAAACAAATAAATGACAATATAAATTATTGTCAATTACCAGTACTACAAGAAACTTTTTTGGGGGGGGGAGTGCCAGAGATTGAAATCAGGGCCACTCGACCAGTGAGCCGCATCAATAGCTTTATTTAGTATTTTATTTAGAAATAGGATCTCACTGAGTTGCTTAGCACCTCACTTTTGCTGAGGCTGGCTTTGAACTCATGTTCCTCCTGCCTCAGCCTCTGGAGCTGCTGGGATTATTGGCATGCACTGCCATTCCTGGCTACAAGAAATTTTTTGAAGATCTTTGTGACAAGAAAAAACCAAAGTGATAAGAACTGAAAATAATGATCTCCTATATTACAAAAGGACAAACTGAGAAAATACACAGCAAATAATTATACCTACATAGGCATAAGTTTTCAAAATTATTCCTTGTCCATTAAAAAATATACAGGATTATTTTCAAAATAAAAGTTTCTATTGCTCTTTTTTTTGGTATAAAATCCTGGATCTATATTGAATTTGGTTAAAAATTTACACAGACAAATTTGCTAGCAAAAAAAGATGCTAAGGAGGGCGGATAGTAAAGAATAGGACAGACAGCAGAATACATCAGACACTAGAAAGGCAATATGTCAATCAATGGAAGGGTAACTGATGTGATACAGCAATCTGTATACGGGGTAAAGTTGGGAGTTCATAACCCGCTTGAATCAAACTGTGAAATATGATGTATTAAGAACTATGTAATGTTTTGAACGACCAACAATAAAAAAAAAGATGCTAAAATTTCTGGGACATAGGAGAATGCTTAGGTCCTAACTATCTTCAAACATGGGTAAGAGTAAAACAAAAGGGTACAGAGAACCTAATTCACTAAGGACTGTGCTCAAATGTCCAATTACATTTCATCAGTAATCAAAGAAGACAGAGGGGTTGTAAGCTGGTTTTAATGTTCAATAAAAAACAATAACTGTAAAATATTCAATGAAAATACAAAAATATTAGAGCACATCTAAATACAACCAAGGCAAGGCCACAATCTGTATTGCTTCCCTGAGATAACCAGAAGCCCTTTCCTGGTGAAATGAACTATTAACTCATCTCTCTCATCCATGCTCTGGCTATCAGCAGGAAGGGACACATTTAGCAGCTGGTAGTATTTAGCAGCTTGTAGTATCT